GTGAGTGAGTGAGTGTGTGTGTGAGTGAGTGTGTGTGTGTGTGTGAGTGTGTGTGTGTGAGTGTGTGAGTGAGTGTGTGAGTGTGTGTGTGAGTGAGTGAGTGTGTGTGTGAGTGAGTGTGTGTGTGTGAGTGAGTGTGTGAGTGTGTGTGTGAGTGCGTGTGTGAGAGTGCGTGTGAGTGAGTGTGTGCGTGTGTGTGTGTGTGTGAGTGTGAGTGCGTGTGTGAGAGTGTGTATGAGTGAGTGAGTGAGTGAGTGTGTGTATTCACCGTTAAAGTCAACATGAGTTCAAAACTGACACTGTTTAACTTTCTTAATGTACATTCCTGCATCCAGCCAGATTCAGTCAGATACGTCATGTTATGTAAGTAAAATGTGTTACGAATGCTGTTTAAAGGCGTTTTTCGTGTGTCACCACAAGCTTATCTTCACACACCCTCCTGTCGAGTGAGGACACAGACATGTGAATGAGCAGTGTTTTTTTCTCTGGAGAAGGCTGATTTCATGTGTGTTGTGTTTTCAGGTTAAAGATCTACGTCCACAGTCCTGCAGAGGACATCAGAGTCTTTCTGAAGTCAGAGCAAACACAGCCCCACGCTCTCAGGTAATAATATATACTGTGAAATAAACACACAACACACGACAGCAGTGAGAAAGCAGCAGTTCAGAAAGCATCTGATCTAGAGATGGGGATGTTTGCAGCAGTAAGTTACATCACGTCACGTTTATGCATATAGCGCTTTATACGGTAGATGCTTTAAAGCAAGCAGCTGCACAGTATTGAAGATGAAAAATCATTAAAGCTTGATTTTCTGTTCCTGCTCCATATGAATCGCTCAATATTTTAACAATTTACTAAATCTGAATAATCGCCTAAAGCCTACTGATTAATCTATGAAATAATCAATGATTGGCCGTTTAATCATTCTAATAATAGTTAGATTAATCGATTATCAAAATAATTGTTTGTTGCAGCCCAAATACTGTATAACTCTTCTGTCTGTCTCTACTTTTAGATTGATTGATTTTTTTTATTAATATTCTTTATTTATCATGTACTTTTTTTTTACTTTATCATGTATTATTATTTATTAACACATTTTTTTTATTATATATTATAATTATTTAATAATTATTTATTATTTGTTCGTTTGGTTCCCTATTTATACATTAAGTAGATGTATTTATTTATTTATTCATTCATTTATTTTAATTATGCTATTTTTCCATGTCTTTTTTGTTTATTAATTAATATGTTAGATAATAATAATTTATTATTTATTAGTTTGGTTCCCAAATTTATGTATTAGTTTTATTAATTTATTAATTGGATTCATATATTATGTTTATTCATTTTTTATATTAATGTTTATTTATTTTAATGTACTTTGTTAATCAATTTATCAGTTTAGTTAATAGTAATTTATAATTTTTTCCCAAATTCATATATTAATTAATTACATTTTTGAATTTATTTTATATATTATTTATATAATTTATTTTATTAATTAATAAATGTTTGTATTTTTGTTTATTAATTAATTTATACATTTTGTTAATAATCATTTATTATTTGTTAATTTGGTTCCCAACTTGTCAAAATATCTAAACAATTTTTACAAATACTTGACTCTAACCCAAAAAAATACCTAACCCGAAATCATGAAAATTAATTGATTAAAAGATGTAATAAAAGGATTTAAATCATACATTTGATGACATTTGCTGTTTTGGGCAAAAAAAAAAATTCTTTTATTGACACAATCTGTATATAAGGTGACTTGACTTCATGCACTCCATAATACTGTTTTGGGCAAAAAAAATCATCCATTTAATGCATTCCAGCAATTATATTAAACCAAATACTGTCAAAAATATGATGATATAATTGTATCTCTTCATATCTCAAAATGGAGCGAGCTGGCCGAGCTCCTGAAGTAAAAACGTGTTTAGTGTAATACTTGGGTCTAATCTTAGCATGACGTGTTTTCAGGCTTCCTGTCCTTGTAAATGCCGCCGGAGTGTGTTTTATTGTGTCTCTGGTAAGAACTGAAACATACTCAGAGATAGCGGAGGCTGTCCATTGGCTGACGCTGTGCTGATTTACTCGTGCGAGAGTGAAATCGACACAATGCTTTATGGGAATGACATCACTGCTCATAAATTCCCCCGCAGTTACGCAGTTTGAGCGCTTTGGGACTCGTCAGCGATGCTTTTCTCTGGTTCTGTGTGTTTTGGTGTCCCTCGCTGGGGTCCGAGGGCCGAGTGGGAGCCATAAAGCCCGCGCACCTGCTTTCTGAGCCTCACTGCTCCTGGATCAGCCATCGTGAAGGTCTTTCCTACAGAATTCGGTTTTTGCTCCCATTATGTGACATTGCTATTTTGCAACATTTAAAATGAAATCAGTATCGTTTCTTTTTTAGGGTTTTCTTACAGGATACACACATACCTTTTTCATATACTCGAAGGATGACCTGAGGGCCAGACAGAAAACAGCGGACACAGAACAAAGAAAATGACAGGCAGAGGAGGAGGGAGAGGGAGGTTGGGTGGGACAACAGGTTCATAACCAGGCTACTTAACCAAGGCAGAGCTGGGAGAGAGTTTGGCGACGGTCACCCTGACCGTGACAGGACAGTCAGAGAGTTCACAAACGGCCTCCTTGGCCGTGGCTGGACAGACAGAGAGTTCATAAACAGCCTTCTTGGCCGTGGCTGGACAGACAGATTGTTCACAGATGGCCTCCTTGGCCGTGACAGGACAGGCTAAAAGTTCAAAGGCAGACGCCGCTGCCTCGGGAGGGTCTGCAGCACAAGCCAACACCTCGAGAAGAGCTGAAGTGGGCGCTGCCGCTTTGGGAGGTTCTGCAGTGACTGGCGCCACCTCTGGAGGTTCTGCAGTGACTGGCGCCACCTCTGGAGGTTCTGCAGCAGAAGTTGCCACTTCTGGGGGAGCTGGAGCAGACTCAGGAGGAGTAATTGAGCAGCGAGTAGCCCAAACGCACAGGATAGCGACCCCCATTACAGGGAGCACTGAGTCTAGAGCAGGGGTGTCAAACTCAGTTCCTGGAGGGCCACAGCTCTGCACAGTTTAGATTAAACCCTAATTAAACACACCTGATCCAGCTAAACAAGTCATTAAGTCTTATTTGAAAACTACATGGTATGTGTGTTGGAGCAGGGTTGGAACTAAACTATGCAGGGCTGCGGCCCTCCAGGAACTGAGTTTGACACCCCTGGTCTAGAGGAATAGTTTCTGGGCTGGCGGCCATTTTATGATCAGTCTCTGGGTTGGCGGCCATTTTGTGACAAGGCTCAGGAGTGGAGATTACTATGGGAGAATCGTTCTCCTCCTCTGAATTTACCTATGCCCATGGTAAAAGGAGAGCCACTCAGCTGTAATGCTACTTCAATATAATACTCCAGTGTCCAGTTAGGGTCATGCAGTGGCATATTTGAGCTGAGAGGTTCAGATAGGCCCCCTTGAAAAAATATAATTAAGCATATTTCATCTAAATGAGTCACGTGTGCCAGTTCAAGAAAATCCACAACATAATCCTCAATGGAACGTGTACCTTGGCGGAGAAACATCATCTTTACTGCTGGATCCGTTATCGGCGAAGTCTTCTGTTACGGACTGCTCAGAGACTGAGTGAGGATCCAAATGCAGTGTTTATTAGGAAAGTCCAGAATCG